GCGGACCAAGTTATGGTAAATTTTGTATCACTAAATTTTAAATGCCTATAACTCGGATATTATAAGAGATATATGTCCAACGAGTTTAAAAATTTTACATGTACCCTACTTTAAACCGCCACAGCGCCGTCCGTGGGGCATCTGCGGGGTTCATCTTCAAAACTTAAACTCGAATACTCCTTGGCTACGCTCACGCTGATCCCGATCGGATCAGCCGTTTAGAAATGCCAGATTTATTTCCAAAAAATTTCCATTCTGCCCCACTGTGTGGTGGGTATCAAAAAAAAAAAAAAAATATTTTATTTCAATTCTTAAACCGTGAGCCTCAATTATGAACCGATACTTATAAAATTTTGTACATTCAGGGCTATACTCGTATTTTAAATAAGGAACACTCGTAGTTTATTAGCCAAAACTCTTTCCTGAAGGGAACCTTTTGTGTATTACCGACACATTCCGCATGAAATTCGGAGCGTATTTCATAACCGTATTTCATAACTCATATTTTTAAGCCAGTAATGATCGTTTAAGTAATTTTCTGAAGGGGACCTTATATGGGCGGTAGGGTAAATTATATACCGATCCTCCCTAAATTTGGTGGAGAGATTAAACTTATGTGCGTCAATTTTCGTCACATTCATATTTTTAAGCCAGTAATGAGCATTGTAGTTATTTGCAGAGGGGGACCTTATATGGGGGAAGGGTCATTTATGGGCCGATCAAAACAAATTGGTACAGAGGTTTTGGCTCGTAAGAAACTTACGTGTGTAGCATTTCATCGCTTTATTCGTATTTTTAAGACAGTAGTATGCGTTTAAGCTATTTCTTGAAGTGGACCCAATAGGGTTAAAAGTTAAAAAGGTTAAAAGTTATTAAAAAGATTTTGGCTCGCGAGGAACTTCATTGTGTAAAATTGTATTGCTATATTCGTATTTTTTAGCCAGTAATGAGCGTCAAAGTCATTTTCAGAAGGGGACCTTATATGGGGGATAGGGTCATTTATGGGCCGATCTTAAAAAAAATTCGTAGAGCGATTTTGGTTCGTAAGAAACTTACTTATACCGAATTTCATCGCTATACTCGCATTTTTGGACCAGTAAAGAGTGTTAAAGTAATTTTCTAAAGGGGACCTTATATGGGGGGTAGGGTCAATTATGGACCGATCCTCAAAAAATTTGGTAGAAAGATTTTGGCTTACATGAAACTTGCATTTTGGTGCCAGTAATAAGTGTTAAAGTCATTTTCAGGAGTGGACCTCATATGGGTAGGGTCATTTATGGGCCGATCCTAAAGAAATTGGTTAAAAGGTTTTGGTTCATAAGAAACTTAGTTATACTAAATTTCATCGCTATACTCGAATTTTTGGGCTAGTAATAAGTGTTAAAGTCATTTTCTAAAGGGGACCTTACATGGGGGAAGGGTCATTTATGGGCCGATCCTAAAAAAAATTTGTAGAAAGATTTTGGTTCGTAAGAAACATACTTATACCGAATTTCATCGTTATACTTGCATTTTGGGACCAGTAATGAGTGTTAAAGTAATTTTCAGAAAGGGACCTTATATGGGGGATAGGGTCATTTATGGGCCGATCCTCAAAAAATTTGATAGAAAGATTTTGGCTCATATGAAACTTATTTATGTCGAATTTCATCGCTACACTTGTACTTCTAAAGCAGTTATGCCCGTGAAAGCTGTTTTTTGGAGGTCCACTTGTATGGGGGCAATCCGAAAAAGTGGACCGATATTGCCTATTTTCAATACCAAACAAACCTTAACAATAGAGAATATTTATGCAAAATTTCAACCGTCTAGCTCCTCTCGTGTGGTCTCTATCGTGATTTCAACAGACAGACGGACGGACGGACATGGCTAGATCGTCTTAGAATTTAATAAGGAGCCGAAATATATATACTTTTATGGGTCTATGACCAATATTTCGATGTGTTACAAACGGAATGACAAAATCATGTTTTTTGATGGTGGGTATAAAAACAAAATTTTTCTTTTAAAAATGTGCACCTCAAGTTTACTCCATAGTCAAACAAGTAAGAAGTTATAGTCGGGCGAGGCCGATCATATAATACCCTACACCTTTGACAAAAATATAATGTGATTTAGTTGCCATAATAAAGCATTTAAGTTGAATTGTACCTTACCTTAGATATACATACTTAAGCCGTTTATTGTTGAATAAAGTTGTGGACATTTAAGTGAAATTTTGATGGGGGCTTTTCATAGGGGCTAGGGTCATATGAGAACCTATTATTATGGAATTCATGGGGGTCATCAAGTCTTGTATACAACTTGGTTTTTGCAGCTTTTTGTCGAGATATGAGTATATTAAACATAATTATGAACTTAAAAGCCCTATTCGGCGGGTTCGGTTGTATGGGGGCTAGGTGAAATAATGGACCGATGTAAACCATTTTCAACAGGCTTCATCTACGGTACCATAAAAGATCATGTACCAAATTTCATTGAATTATCTCCAAAATTGCGACCTGTAGTTTGATTACAAGTTTTAAAAGCCCTATTCGGGGGTTCAGTTGTATGGGGGCTAGGTGAAATAATGGACCGATGGTAACCATTTTCAATAGGCTTCGCCTACGGTACCATAAAAGATCATGTACCAAATTTCATTGAATTATCTCCAAAATTGCGACCTGTAGTTTGATTACAAGTTTTAAAAGCCCTATTCGGGGGTTCAGTTGTATGGGGGCTAGGTGAAATAATGGACCGATGGTAACCATTTTCAATAGGCTTCGTCTACGGTACCATAAAAGATCATGTGCCTAATTTCATTGAATTATCTCTAAGATTGCGACCTGTAGTTTGATTACAAGGATTACAAGCCCTATTGGGGGGTTCAGTTGTATGGGGGCTAGGTGAAATAATGAACCGATCTTAACCATTTTCAATAGGCTTCGTCCCTGGGACAATAGAAGATCATGTACCAAATTTCATTGAATTATCTTCAAAATTGCGACCTGTAGTTTGATTACAAGGTTTACATGGACGGACGGACAGACGGACGGACATAGCTAAATCGACTCAGAAAATGATTCTGAGCCGATTGGTATACTTTAAGGTGGATATAGGACCAATATTATTGTGCGTTACAAACATCAGCACAAACCCAATATACCCTCCCCACTAAAGTGGTGTAGGGTATAAATAGGTTAAGATATAATTTTTATACCCTACACCACTTTAGTGGGGAGGGTATATTGGGTTTGTGCTGATGTTTGTAACGCACAATAATATTGGTCCTATATCCACCTTAAAGTATACCAATCGGCTCAGAATCATTTTCTGAGTCGATTTAGCTATGTCCGTCCGTCTGTCCGTCCATGTAAACCTTGTAATCAAACTACAGGTCGCAATTTTGAAGATAATTGAATGAAATTTGGTACATGATCTTCTATTGTCCCAGGGACGAAGCCTATTGAAAATGGTAAAAATCGGTCCATTATTTCACCTAGCCCCCATACAACTGAACCCCCCAATAGGGCTTGTAATCAAACTACAGGTCGCAATTTTGGAGATAATTCAATGAAATTTGGCACATGATCTTTTATGGTATCGCAGACGAAGCCTATTGAAAATGGTTAACATTAAAGATATAAAAGAAAATGGGTTTCTAGTCGAAGAACGTAAATTGGACATAATTATCCGTGCATTTGTTTGTGACACGCCAGCCCGCTGTTATGTGTGTGGGATAAGAGGTCACAATGCCTTAAATGGTTGCAGTAAATGTGACCAGAAAGGAATAAGTATCTCAAATGTGACAACTTTTAGTAAATTTGTGGGTAAATTACGTACTGATGCCGATTTTAAATACAGACGTGATCAAGATTTTCACCAACCAAAATTTTTAAATATGCAAATGTCGCTAGAAAGTCTAGACATAAAAATGATAACTCAATTTCCCATTGATATCATGCATTTGATAGATTTAGGAGTAATGAAAAGAATGCTTTTAAGACTGCTAACATCTAAGACAAACGAACGCCTACCAGCTCAAACTAAACAATCAATGTCATCATTAATGATATCTCTATATCCATTTATACCACGCGAGTTTGCTAGGAAGCCTCGTTCTTTTGAAGAAATAAGAAAGTGGAAAGCTGTCGAATTTCGACAATTTGTACTTTATACTGGGCTCATTGTAATTAAAAAATTTACAAGTGAAAACTTTTTCAAACACTTTTTGCTTTTATCGTGTGCTTATCGCATTTTAATTCCAAATAATATTAGACAAAGTGAAATACATCAGGCTCATGAAATTCTAAAACAATTTGTGGAACAATTTCCAAATTATTATGGAGAAACAAGCATTACCCATAATGTGCATAATCTTCTACACCTAAAAGAGGTTGCACTAGAATATGGAAATCTTTAAAATATAACAGCATATCCATTTGAAAATGCTATGACCTCTTTAAAAAGATCAATTAAAAAGTCTCAACACATTGAGCAACAAATGTTTAATGTTTTTTCCAAAATACCATTGGCCAAAAATAGGTCGAAAATGGAATCAAACGTGGTAAAATGGGAAACGTAATATTTTACAAATCAGAAAATTTGTATTTTAATATAAAATTTCAAGATAGTTTTTGCTTAATTTCTGATAATACACCTGTCAAAATTACAGCTTTTCTAGAAAATGATATGTTTAAAGCCCATGTTTTTATTAACACTGAAGATATGTTTTCAGAACCCATACGATCGAAGGATTTTGGCATATTCGTTGTTAATTTAAATGTATATAGAGAAGAAACATTTAAACTTCAAGAAATACGCGGCAAATTAATATGTTTGCCATATGAAAGTAGCCATTTACTTATTTCATTTTGTCATTGCTCTTAATGATTATATTAAGTTGGTCCATCCAAACATTTGTTTGGGCTTTATTAATAAATAATAATAAATAAATAAATAACAATAAATAAAAAACAGTAATTAGATATTTTGCATTTTTAGAATATTTTTTTTACAAAATGGGACGCTCTAGACCTGTGAAGGAATCTTCTACTAAAACAAATCCATCAACAACCATTGAGACTGCATCAAAATTGGAAAAACTCCAAAAAAGTATAGAAGAACTTCAAAAAGGTATAAACTTGTTAAGTAAAACTATAAAAAAACCCTTAAATTATAAATGTATTTTAACATAATTAGTAAACAGCGACATGGCTAAAGAAACATTTTGTGGACAAAACAAAATAATTGTAGATCTATTGTCTGAAATGCATGTCTTAATAAAATCAAATTTAACCTCCACTGCAGTGGCCACAAGATATTTGGACAAATTTCCTCTTAAATCTAAATCGGAAATGGACGATATAGAACTAGAAATTTCTGATGAAAATATGGAAGCTATGGTAATAAAACTACACTAATATTTATTAATACACCTAAATTTTTATTATTCCTTATATTTTATTTCAGACTCACACAATTAAAAAAATAGTGGGAAGAAATGGTATTAAGAAAATGCTAACAGCCATTTTTGATAAACATCTGCTACTAGAATTTAACGTTGATGGAAGACAAAATAAAAAAGAGACTCTTAGACTACCCAAAACTTATAAATTTAATTTACAGTAAGTTAATTTAATAAATTTATAATTTTATTTATTTCATACTTGTTTTTATTTTTTTTTCAGAATGTGTCTATAAAGACGAAATGTTGACAAAAAAGGCCTTTTATGATGAAATAAGAAAAGGCATTCGCTTGGCAAAAAATAGACATTACAAAGAAGCATCCTTTAAAAAAAAATCAGCAGCTTAGATTAAATGACATTCAAAGTAATTCTTCTAATGATGAAAATAGTTTAAATTATTTAAATACAAAGGAAAATGAATTATCTTTAATGGATTTTTAACTATTTTTCTTCTTAAATTTCATGAATTTTCTTTTTTGGAATAATTTATTTTTTACTCTTATTGCTGAACGAAATATTTTTTTAACCTCCACTGCAGTGGCCACAAGATATTTGGACAAATTTCCTCTTAAATCTAAATCGGAAATGGACGATATAGAACTAGAAATTTCTGATGAAAATATGGAAGCTATGGTAATAAAACTACACTAATATTTATTAATACACCTAAATTTTTATTATTCCTTATATTTTATTTCAGACTCACACAATTAAAAAAATAGTGGGAAGAAATGGTATTAAGAAAATGCTAACAGCCATTTTTGATAAACATCTGCTACTAGAATTTAACGTTGATGGAAGACAAAATAAAAAAGAGACTCTTAGACTACCCAAAACTTATAAATTTAATTTACAGTAAGTTAATTTAATAAATTTATAATTTTATTTATTTCATACTTGTTTTTATTTTTTTTCAGAATGTGTCTATAAAGACGAAATGTTGACAAAAAAGGCCTTTTATGATGAAATAAGAAAAGGCATTCGCTTGGCAAAAAATAGACATTACAAAGAAGCATCCTTTAAAAAAAATCAGCAGCTTAGATTAAATGACATTCAAAGTAATTCTTCTAATGATGAAAATAGTTTAAATTATTTAAATACAAAGGAAAATGAATTATCTTTAATGGATTTTTAACTATTTTTCTTCTTAAATTTCATGAATTTTCTTTTTTGGAATAATTTATTTTTTACTCTTATTGCTGAACGAAATATTTTTTTATAATTAATTTTTTATTCTTATTCATTTTTTAAAACACTTGCTCTTTTTTCAATTTCCAATAATTTGTAAATTTTGTTATTATTGAACAGACCAAATATTTTGTAAAAATATTTATACTAATAAAATATTATTATACTTTACATTTTTAAAAACTCTTAATTATTAGAATGAAAAATTTACAATAAACTTTTATGTCGGTATTATTTTATATCCTTTATAAAACATGAATAATCAATATTTAGTTATTAGTGTGAAATTAATCAATTGTAAATGATCTCTTTTTTAGTTCTTATTCATAAAAATTACATGTTGATAAAAATAAAATTATTTCTATACATAAACTTTTATCAGTTCTTTTTTTTTTTGGGGTGGTGGGGGTGTTGGTAGAGGAAATGGCTTAATAAAGCATTACTAGAATGCCTTCTTTAATACATATTAAAGAAGGCGTGATAGTATCCCTTTTTTAAGGCATGAATTACCAACATAGTGGATGCTGTGTAAAAGGCAACTGGATCGTGCTTCCGCGAGCACCTGATATTATCAATTCCGAAATGCACAATTATTTGTACATATTTAATTCAATGAAATCAGGTTAATTTAAAAGCTGTGAAATATGCTTATTTTGGATTCCTTATGCAGAGCCTTTACGCGAGGAATCCAATATAAAAATCATGTAATCTTTCATGCGAAGTGGTAGCAGTATACAAGTGCTCTCTGCCTTACAAACCTGCTTCCGAGGAAGCACCATTTTTTGCTGGGTATTTATATTGGGTTTTTATAAAAAGTAGTTTGCTGGTGGAGGGTATTTAAGATTCGGCAGAGCCAAATATAACATTCTAACTTGTTTGAAATAGGGATGGAATTTCATTTTACTTATTCTTTAGACTTTACGTACGTGAAGTGTGAAGGCCCCTTAAGGAAATATATTTAGCTTTAAGCTTCTCAATTTATGATTAGAAATTTTAAGTATTAATATTTTTGTAGCTATATAAAATTAAAAATGTTAAAGGTAATTTTTTACCATTCAAGCCTATAGAATTTTGAAAAGGGGGAAATGTGTGTTTTTGGTAAATTTTGTGAAATTTGTTCTGAATTATATATTTTGAATGTATATTTTAATTTCGACATATTCATTTCAGGGGTAAAAAGCAAAGTCAATGTTAATTTGCATGCATTAATCTATAGATTTAATAATATAAATCACTTAAAATCACGGGCAACGCCGGGTACAAAAAGCTAGTCTAAAATATTACTTCAAAAATAAAAGTAAGGAAAAATTATTTTCTTTATAATTAATTTATATTGATGAAAGTTAAAACTGAAATTGTTTTTGTGATTTAATAAACAGACAGGAAATTACTTAAATTGGGGATATCTAAAGAAATGTTGTCCTAAATGTAAAGACTAAATTGAAACAATTCCGTCGTCATACAAACAATAAAAAACACCATGGTTGGGCCTACTCTAACAACCGGTAGTGTATATGACTGCTTTCAAAGGCACAACGTTATACTGCATATTTTTATACCCTCCACCACCATCAGTGGTGATAGAGGGTATATATAAGTTTGTCATTCCGTGTGTAACATCAAGAAGTCCGTCTGTCTGCCTATCTGGTTAAAACACGTTTACATTAAAACCAAGTAAGCAAATGAAATCAACCAAATTCAATAAAAATATTCACTGTTGTCCTAATCAGTTTGGTTGGTATTGAAAATGGTGGCGTGTCATAATGTCCATAGACCATATGATACACCATAGAGAGACATAATGTCACTTTTTTAAAATGTCTAATGTACATGGACATTTCGACACTTTTAAAACAGAAATGTATTGAAATTTCAGAAAGGGATTTTAGATCCCGAAAAGAATTGCTCCTAAATTTGGTGTGTGTTGCATTTTGGATTCCTTTTGAAAAGTGTCCTGGATAGCCGGCTTTAGAGCGGGCGCAGGGGTTTTAAGCTCTGTGGTATTTAGAATACCGGCTTCGCTAATTAAGCCTTTTTTGATAAATGAACTCTCTGAAATCCATGGACTTTATGTCACATTGCTTATGGACATTGTGACACTTTTAAAATGGTCATAAATTCCACGGGCATTATGACTCAATTGTGTGCCATTATGATGTGTGGGCATTATGACACTCCACCATTGAAAATCAGCAAAATCGGTTCACAACTTAAAAATTTATGAGTAAAAATTTTCGAAAAAATAACGGAAATTATTTTATCGTTAATAACTTCCTCATAAGGTCAATTTTCGAAAATTACATATTTCATAGATAAATAAAGGTATCAGGATAAAATTGGACATGAATATGTTTTTTGTATGTATAAATTACTCTACGAAATTTTTCTGGATCGATCCAAAATTGGTCATAGCTCCAAAGTAAGGCATCCGATCGGTCCATATTTGGTAAAAAGTCCACTTCAAAAAAATCACTTAAACGCACATATTTCATTATCAAATAAAGATATCTTAATAAAATTCGACACAAATATGTTTTGTGTACATATGAATGATTCTACGAAAATTTTCCGCATAGGCCCGTAATTGGTCATAGCTCCTATATAAAGTTCACTTCCGAAAATCACTTAAACGCACATTTTTCATTAATTGATAAATCTATTGGAGTAAAATTAAACTTGATTTGTTTTGCATATAAATCATGATAAATTACTTAAATGCATATTTACAATCAAAGTTATCCGGATAAAGTTCGACATAAATGTGTATTTTGTGTATATAAATCATTCTACGGAATTTTTTTCCGGATCGGCCTATAAGTTGTATTGGCTTCCAGTAAAGCACTTAATACCACCTTATTCGTTGTTAAATGATTATATATGGATAAAATTCGACATGAGTATATTCTGTGTATAGATAAATCATTCTATTAACATGTTTTCGAACTGGCCTATTAATATAAATTTTTCTGGACTTATAAAAATTAGTTCGACATATGCATAAATGTCAGTACTCTCAATACGGAAACAAAAATGTTGCCAAGTTATCTAAAAAATAGATAGCTAGGTTTTAATAAAAAGTAGTTTGCTGGTAAAGGGTATTTAAGATTCGACTCAGCCAAATATAGCACTCTAACTTGTTTTTTAATTTGTTTTCAAAATGGACCCTTTTTTTGCTTAAAAGAGAGCTTATACAATTTCCTTGAAGGGCTTCATAGTCCTATAATGGGATGCGAATGAGATATATATCAAAAAAAAAAAAGTATTTTTTTGTTAAAGAATAGAATTTTTCAATATTTGGCACTGAATTTTCCCCTATTTTTTTTTTAAATGGACGTTTTTGTTGTATTTTTAAAAATAAAGCTGAGGCCATTTCCTTTAGTGGGATACAAGGGGCATATGAGAAAAAAAATAATATTTTAACTCAAAAACTTTGCTTTTGGAGTTAAAATGTTTTATATATAATAGAAACGACTTTATTTTGCGCTGAAAACTATCTTTTCTCAAAAACTACCCGTTAGAATTTAATGATATTTAAGTCTACTTTGCTATGATATATGGTGTTTCTAAGTTTTTTTGCTCCATCGTATTTTATTGGTATTTAAAAAATTTGGCATTGGAAAAAAGATTCTTCTATTAGTGCTAACATTATAAATAATGTGGTTCCACACCCAATAAAATTCCGGTTCTCTACCGTGAAGATGACAATCAAAGGTCTAAAGGCAGGAAAATCACCTGGTATAGATAAAATTACTACCACGATGATAAGTAACCTGCCCAATTCAGCACTGAGAATTATTTTGTTCATCTTTAACTCGATGCTACGTATTGGATACTTCCCTAACTCATGGAAAGTATCCGAGATTGTTATGATACCAAAACCGGGGAAAGATGTCACTCAAGTGACATCATACCGTCCCATTAGCCTCTTGTCTTTATTCTCAAAACTTTTTGAAAAGTTATTGCTTGAAAGCCTTTTAGTACACTCTAACGATAATTGCATTATTCCTGGCCATCAGTTTGGTTTCAGAAGAAAGCACAGCACTATCGAACAGGTACATCGAATAACAACTCTTATTCGGAAGGCCTTCGAGAGCAAGCAATATTGCTCTGCATTATTCATAGATATTTCTCAAGCTTTTGATAAAGTCTGGCACGATGGACTAATACAC